CCGAGGAACCACTCGACCAAGTGTTTGTACGCCAAAGTCTCATTGACTCGATCCAATCCAAGATGATCCAACATGAAAACGTCGCGCACACAAGCAACACTCTGGTGCTTTGCGGATGGCGTGTTGTGGTTCACCGCCACCTTCCCCAAAGTCTTCCCCTCCTCATTCTCCAAGAAGACCTCGAAGTTTTCCAACTCGCTCTGCTCCTGCAAGCATGGAAGCGGCAAGGATTTGCTAAAATCAACGTCTAAAGCTTCAAACCGAACCACCAAGTGGCATGACTCACCATTCCTCCAAAGCCTGAGGCCCAGCTCGCTCTGTCTCCCGCTATCCAACAATTATGATTTGATGTTTCAGAGCAATCTGGGGGTTCATGGCAAAAGTGTCATGTGATCAACATGTGGGTGCTTATGCAGGACCTCCCTCGCAATACAAATGTTATTCCACTGAGAAGCAGTGGTATGCTCCATGAAGGATTTGTGTAAATGGATACGTGGTATGCTAGGTAGTGCGTGGAAAGGCATTGGGGCAGCCCCTTTTACCAACAAAAACTATAGAAGTTGTGTCTCCTCCGGCCAATCGCAGTGGAAGATCAGGCTCACAGGGATGCCTTTCTCCCTTCCATAGACGCGCAGCTGTGTTTTGTGCACGCCAGAGGCATCCGAGCAGTACCTGCATCCAGCACCAAGTAAAGCCACGGTTGGCAACTGGATGGTGAAGGTTCACACAAGAATGGATAGGTTTACCGCCGCCGCGTGTTCTTCCTAGGTGGTCCTTATATTGCTTGTATATTGCATCTCACTGTATATGTATATGAGTGTGGGAATACGTATTCAATATTGACTGATCCTGATATCCTGGTTTGACATGGATTGACTGTTCGTGGACCCACGGACTCCGTGACACCCTGAAACTCAAACACCCCATCATCTTGCTGGCAAGCCGCAACGCATGCTCTCCCACATAGTTCCTTCGCAGGCGGTCTTATTTACTTTTGTGCGCTATATGGTTCACGAAGTTCACGCCCCCTGAAAACCTTCATGCTGGTGTTCAGTGTGGAGGCAAATCTATTTCTAGAGTCCCAAAACCCTTTTGACACCTGTCTCAAAAAGGGCCAAACTGAGTGAACAACTTGCAACTGAAGAGGGGTCAGCTGCAAGTGATTGTGGCGAAAAACTGTTCGGGGATTGTTGATCGGGAGAGTGTTCGGAGAAGGCGGAAGGGGTGGGAAGTTGTAGTAGCAGCTGCTGAGGGTTGCCACCACAGGGTGTGGGAAGAACTGGTGGGAAAGGGATGGATTAAACACCCACTTCATTTGCAACGGGGCCCTATTTAACCAGTTGCAATTCCTCAGCACCGAGCTTCGAGAGTACAGGGTCAAACTCATGGAGCAAGGCGATGTAGTTCCCATCGGCGCCGAAGGTCGGAACCACGCTGAAAAACTGCAGCGTGTAGTTGGTCCCCCTGGCGATGTTCCAAACCTGACGCTTTGAGATTCATAGTTCCGGTGAAGGAACGTAAGTTTCAGTGGCTGTCAGAGATGCAATGCCCTTGATTGATCTTGATTGTTGAGTTACTGCATAACGGAAAGGTGAAAAGTCAGCACAACAGAAGGTGTTTGAACATCGGCTCGTCGGCGCACCACTCAGTATAGCCCTTAGCAGGGGGAAAAGTTTAATTAAGGATGGGCTACTGGGTCGGCTCTTAGCACACTACCCTAACGTGCGCAGGACTGCCAACGGCAGATTCCGCACAGGCACCTGACAGGAGCCGATTTGCAGCTCGGTGTAGAGCAGGATTTGAAGATCCAGAGTGCACCTGTCCTGTGCGTTGGCTGGTCCCCTGGACAAAGGCCTGTGTGGCAGGGGGGGCTCGAGAGACCCCAGCCTCGATCTGTATCTGGACAGAAAGGTTATGAAGTCTTGCCAAAAGCCCCTCTTGGGGAGAAGGCCTCTGAGTCCGCGCTCTGCTTCATACCCCACAAGAAGAAGGCTGCTGCTGCACAGCCCGGGGTCACTCCCTCAACATGTGGGAAAGTGCCAAAGAGCTCAGGAACTCCCAGTCAAACTGCTCAAAGCAGCGGTCCTGCATCTCTTCACAGACTGGAAAGAAAACCCCCCCTCCTTTCAGCTGTTGCCTGCAGCCCAGATCCCCAGGTATTGCATAGGTCTGCCCATGTGCGTCCCCATGCATCGATGTCGACATACGCTTGCAACCATTCATAGTCAGCATCAAGAGCATTCAACCAACAATCCCTTCGGAGCTCTTGCTCCCGCGCCCAGCGCGCCGAAAGTCTGGGGCATGTTTACCAAGCCGCTGAGCAAAAAAGAGGCCTGGCCACAGCAAGCTTAACTCGCAGGCAAGGTTGCTCCAGGTGACCCCGCACCCGTTCATCAGTCCAGACTGACTGGTTCTTGTTGTTGGCAACTTGGAAACTCACTTGAGAAATTGGGCTACTTCATTGGCCCGACGTGACGCACAAGCTTTCTGGGAAAAGTTAGCTGATTTGCTCTCCAATGCTGAAGAGAATGGGGAAGCCAGACAATGGTGGAGGCTCATCCAGAGGCACCTCCCGAAGAACAAGGCTAAGAAGGACGCTTTATGTGGAGACCCGTGCTCTCTTGAAGCAGGTTCTGAAACCTTTGTGGTTGAGTTGTACCAGGAAGTCGCGCAAGAGCACCAGGGCAAGCAAGCTGCTGCACCACGGCTTGAAGACCTACCATCCCTTCTTGATCTTGAGCAAGCGTTGCGAAATACCCAGGCGAGGAAAGTGCCAGGACTTGATGGCATGCATCCCTAGTTCTGGTGCTCATTTGTCGGACCCCCATCTTTTTGACCTGCTTCTGAAGTCGATGGTCCATGGTCCATTGTATGGAAGCTATCATCTGGAAAGGAGAGGTGCTGAAGATGATCCCTAAACTGGGTATTTCGAACAAGGTGCACCATTTTAGAGGAATCACGCTCCTCAACCTACTGCCAAGGCGGGCACATGCACTGTTTCGACCTATGTTGATGGAGGAGTTGGAGGTTAAGAGGCCACAAGGGCAGATAGGAGGGCTGCCCCACCAAGAGGCCGCATTTGGAAGCCAAGCCATACGACTCTTTGTTCGATGTGCTTAAAGTGTACAGCTGCCTGCTCGCATCCTCTTCTTTGACCTGAAAGCTGCATATCATTCACTTGTCCGTGAGCTTGTTTTAGGTTCTGATGAGCAATGAGCGTTCCAAACAAGTCCTCAAGCGACAACTTGGTGAAGATGGTTTCTGCTGCTCTGACATTGAAGAAGTGGTTGAAGGCTCCCAGAAGGTTTCCCTGGTTCCGTGAGTTGCACAGCTTTACTCGGAGTTGCATAGTGGATGAACCGGTAGCCGCCAACAGAGGCAGCCGTCCAGGCAGCCCCCCAGCGGACTCCCCGTTCCATCTCGCTATATGGCTCCTTGTGTTCGTGAGATGGAAGAATGGCTTGCTGGGAGACAGGAAAGACAGGCCGCCCTGAGCCCTACTGGGTCATCCTCCGGCATCCCCGATTCAGTTTCAAAGCTCGGGTGACGATGCTCGACTCATTGATCTTTTCCATGCTCTTTTAGGGCGCAGGGAGCTGGGGAACTTTGTCGGGCAAACAAACTAAGATGCTGCAATCATGTTACTTGGGACTGCTTCGTCGTGAGACGAAGCACCACTGCACAACAGCCAAGCACCAGTGGAGGTGAACCAGGGCCTCATCCTTGCCCCTACCCCAACTCCAGTGACAACTCTTATGCCGCCATGCATCAAAAGCCTAATTAAGCCAAAAGGAACGGAGTGCGCCCTTGCCTTGCAGCAATCGAGCCCGCCAGAGCTGTTTCTGGCGGATAGCCTGCTGGGTCTCAGTCGTAAAGAAAAGTTTTTCATGAAAAGCCTTTCTGCGCAAACATTCTCACAGCAGCCAGGTGCATCTGCTCTGTCAAGGTGCCTGCATGACGGTGTACATCATATCCCCAATCGATGGGTTTCAGATTTTGAGCAAAAAGTTCGATCAAATTGGGCGCCTTGTTCTCAATGTTCATCTCATCATAAGGACCCAAGAAGGCTCTTGGTTGCACAATTTGAGTGCCCCCTGGCAACTCCCTGTGGATGTGGAGGAAGACTGCTCTGTGGTCATGCTCAAACTCATGCACGCTCAGGCTCCCATCCAGCCAAGATTTGAGATTGTGTGACAACCAGCATTGCGCCGATCCTTGACCCCACGCCATTCAGGTGGACCCATGTACACGTGGGTCCTTCATGTGTATCCTCCCATGCACAAGGCGCACACAAGCCAAGGAAGGTATGGAAGAAGCACCCGCAGCATTTTCAACCGCCTTGGAAGGCGTGCTACCAACTCTGGCGTTGGCATCACCTGCCAGTACTAGGGAAAATGTCGCAAATGCGATGGAACATTGGAAGGCACCTATCAACAGATCGAGTCCTTCCATTGCCAATCTCGTAAGAATGAATTGCGGTGAGGGGGCCAGTAGTGTTCTTGACCAGAACTGATTGGTCCCCAATCCAGCAAAGGGCCTTCGACTTGTGGAGGCCCAACAAGATGCCACCCTGTCCCTTGTTGCAAGGATGTGCCAGGATCCAATAGTGCTGGTTTTGCAGAACCTTTTGAGTCAGGCGGGTTTCTTGCATTTTAACAATATTTGCACCCTTAAAGTTGCATTCTTCCACAAGTTGGGTCAGTCTCACATAGCCAGTCATCTCCTTGGCCTTCAAGGTCATAGAGTTGTAGGACAGGCAGCGGAGATCCACCCAGATTGCCTGACCAGCAATGGTGGTTTGCTGCCACAACCTCCGTCTTCGCGAGGGTTAACACGCCCTCCCGCCTTTGAAGGTCATGTCGGAAGACCAACCAAAGCCAGGGTATGTGGCGGAAAGCCGTGCCACTCTCGTTGTAGAAGAAGGCCCAAACTTCATCACTCATAAAATGCGTTTTGGGCTGCGTGCCCCGATAGCACATCAACACATTCGTTGCCCGGGTCTCCCTTGTGACCAGCTACGTAACGCGGCTTCACCACACCCGGCCACAGCAGGTGGAGCAGCTGGAAAACTGATCTGGCGGCTCGAAAAATAGGGTGATCACACCATCTTGTGCCCCAGCCAGCTGAAGTCGAGCCGAAATGCAGGAACATTCCAGATGAAGCCAGGGATCGAAAAAGATCGAGGACCCATTTCCCTGCCATCAGACAGGCCTTGAGCTCCATCCAGGTGCTCAGTGCCATTTGATGCTGCTGGATGCGCCCAGCGCAGAACCAGCGTGATTCGCAGAGCACCCAGTGCCGCAGGCCAAATCCTGCAGCTTCGAACCATCTGTGTGCAGGTGGAGTTCAAGAGGGCATTCTCCATTCCACCTGGGGCATTGCAGCCATGTACGCTTTCATCTTTCCATCTCATTCCCATGTTATACTGTCCTGCTCTGACATGCCGGCAAACCCAACGTGGAAAAGCCACAACATCTCGTAGATCCAGGCTAGATGCCTCAGCTTGAGGAGGTGCTTCAGTCGGTAGCAGAGCATCGAACAGTGATATGATATGACCAGGCTTCTTGTCATCATGCTCAAAGGGGTGGTCCATTGGTCCAACCACAAACCGAAGGTCAAACCTCCATTTGCCAAATGTCTTATCAACCCAGAATTCCTTGTCCAGTGTCACAGTTGTCGCACATGTGTGGTCATTTAGGACAGCATCGTCGAAAAGGACATGGTCACCTTCATCATCTCTCACACTCACACACAGGCCGAACCTCACCCCCCATTTCCTGCTGGAGCAAGCCTCAGGGAGGCATGCATAGCTGGGGTTGGCTGCAGGGTGATGGCCTTGCACATTCGTCGACCACTGCCCTCTGCTCCGCAGGTCCCGTCCCTGAGAGCAGGCTGGCCTCCCCTCAGCCACCAGTCCTCAAAATAGATGACCTTGTAGACTTCACTTCGATCGTTGTACAGGCTGGCTTGAGCATACCCGGAATGGCCAAACTCAAAAACATACCCGATGGCAGGGCACGTTGGAAGGGATCTTGGGATGCCCATAGGACACCACCATGCCACACCAAACATCTGTCCCCTTGCCAATGCTGCGGAGGCGTCTGAAGCCAAACGTTTCTGAAGTGGTCAAGGTGCGGTTCACCTGTATCCATGTGCTTGACATAAGCAACATCGGCATCAGCCATTCCTCACCCCAGATCTTCCCCAAAGATCCGTGACACAGCTGTATCCCATACCAGGACCTGTAGCCTGTAGCTTATCCCCACGCTCCAGCTGGGCAGGACCTGGATGTGATTACGGGTGACCCTGAGGTCAGCTATTCCCAGGTCCAAATGCTCTGGGAGCAAATGTCTCACATCACTAAATTGCAGCTCATGTGGTAAAGTGAGTGCTACTAAAGTAGCCGCGCACATCCACCTCAGTTGGTATACCACCTCAAAGGATACACATGCCAATCCAGCCCTCTGCTCCATCTCCTCAACATTCAAGATTGCCAAAGAGAGCCCTTTGGTGGCAGCATCGAACCTGCCCGCAAGAAAGGCGAAAAATCCCTCAAAGCCAGCCAAGTAGTAGTCACAAACTGGGCTAGACTGAGGTGTCTCTCCCAACGAACTGGGCCCACCGTAGAGGCAGGCATAGGCAAGAGGACTGGCAGCAGAACCAGAGAGTCAGGACAACTCTCAACGTCCAAGAGTTGCCCAAAATCATCATCAATCTCGTTTTGGAAGTCCCCAATCTCTTGCCCGATAACAAATTCTTCAATCCTATTTGGATGTCCCGTGCCCAGGGTCATCCTGGAACAAGCTAAGTTCATCCCACCCCAAGGCCTGTATCGAGTCGTGGACTTGGAAGAATGACATGTGCATCGAAATCAAAACCAGTGGTCCCATTCGCGCTCTTTTCGCAACTTGCTGACCACATCACGATGTCAATCCTCTGCCATCCACTGACTTCTTAAAGGTCCGTCAGAAATCAGGAATGCTCCTTCCAACATCATCCTGCAAGAACGTGGGTCCCACTGCAACCCGGGTAGGCCCACAAGCATCAGAATTTGCTGCCGGGTGATTGCTTCAGGACTCTCAATGGCCTTCAGGGTCGAGGTGGCGGCCCGACCTCCAAAGTCCAGCGCAACCAAGCTTGGCAGAGAAAGCTGGCTAGGCGGGTGGTCAATCAGAATGAGATGAAGATCATCCACTCCGCCTTGTTGGCTAGGAGCAGGTTGTGGGTCGACGACGTACCTCATGAAGGCCCACTGGTCCGGAAGGATGTCCTGGAAGCAGCACCGAATGGCTAAAATCAGATCAGTTTCGTCCCAATGCTCCAACTCACGAGGGGTGAAGCTAGCAGGCTGCACCATCCCTGGTCCGTGGACGACAAAGGTTGGCCATGATCCTCGTGCCCAGAGATATGTCAGAGCCTCCCGTTGAATGATGGCAAAGTCCATGGTGTCAGTTGTGCTCCGCAACATCATTGTAAAATCTTCTGCCACTTGCTGGTGAACATGTTCAACAGGCTCATAACGCAGCCAGCTTGGTACTGGAAAAAATTGCTGGGAAAAATGACACCCCCTCGTCCACATCATCCCTCCGTGAAGAGGACATCAGCAGTTCCACAGACTTGTTTATATCAAACACAGGGGAAGAGAGAGCAAAAGCTTGAAGAGTCAGCGCAACACAAGGTGTTTGAACATCTGCTCGTCAGCGCACCACTCATTAGCCCTTTAGACAGAACTAAAGACTAAAAGATTCGGGACAACATCAGGTACATGAAACACCATGAAACAAACCAAGAGACCACAACAAACAAACAACAGTTACAGCAGGTACAGGTGGATGATCAGTCCACCCTTCCCTCGTCATACCGTAGCTTCATTGCGTACGGTAGGTATGACGAGCCGTACGCCCCTACTCAGTTCTAATGCAAAAAGGTGATCGAAAACGGGGACCGCTAGATGGGGTGTGACACACACACACGGTGTTGTTTCTTTCTGTCTGGGCGATGCTCCGTGTCAAACAGGTCCACCAAAATATCAGAGCAACTCCTATGAGAGCAACCCACACGAGGCCACACACAGGAGAAATCACACAAAGCCAACCTGCTTGGAGAAACACCATTCCACGCTCAACAAATTTTCCTTTGGAGGTATATATCTACGTTCTTGCCTTCACCTTTCCCTGTCCCCCGCACCACCAAGCAGCAATCTCTTCCTGCTGCTCGACTACGGTGTACTGGGCCACCGGCGCCCGTGCTTGGAGCAAACTGCTGCAATCTTCCGCGCAGGCCGCCACGGCCCAAGCGGCCAAGGCCAGCGCGAGTGAGTGCATTTGATGACGCATGAAGAACGTACGTTTCGATATAGGAAATTGTAACTTGAGCCAAGGAAATTGTAACTTGAGCCAAGGCGTTGGTCAACTTCCAGCTTTCCAACCGTAGGATCTCAGGATCCTAATACCCTTACCCTTATAAAGGATATGCCAAGGACATGTTCCTCAATGAAAACCACGATTGTAGGGAATGCTCCGAACATGTCATCAACAGCTCGGAGTGCATAATACCTATCAGCGCGGCATGCAACCAACCAAAGAGGATCAAAGAGGGAAAACAAAACGCGCTTCCCTGGGCCTTGGTTGCCCTGAATTTTCATATATGCCCCTCTTTGTCGCGCCCCACATGCAAGGAGCCCACACACTAAAGCTAAAAGCTGCTGATGTGGGGGAGGGGCGCTGTTTTTGTTGAAGGTTTTTGGGTCAAATCCAACGACCCCTGTCTAGGCCGATGAACGTGAGCGTGAGCGGAGCGGAGCCGGCGTGTTCCTGGTGAGGGACTCCAGTGTAGCGGTGGACGACGTCGGTCCGCCATCACTTGGACGAAAGCCTGCGTTTCGTTGACACTTGTTCATTTTTCTAATGCACTGGGGACCGTCAGGATCTTTTTCGGAAAAAGCGGTGTCCAGGCTGGACCCAGTCTGACGTATCGGCTCCCCCCTGCACACTGCATCCCGGACCCTGTCGGACGCAGGGCCGCCCCCGAGAAGAAGAGAAGGAGCAAGGCGGCGCGCGCTACCATTCAGTGCGCGCGGCTGCCATGCGGGGAGTGGACGCTACTTACGAGGAAATGTGGGGGTTAGTGGGGTTCACTCGACTCCCCCTGAGCATTGATTTTGCTTATTGATTTTTTTGATTTGGAAGTAAAGTCTCTGTTTGAATATATATATATATATGTGTTTGATTGATTTGTTGATTGATTTTGCTATTGAATTGGGTTCTATTGATTTTGGGTTTGATTTTTTGGGAGGCAGTTGTAGGGGCTGTTGGGAGATCCCTGTGCGCTGTCATGTCTTGTGGCCTTTTGTTGCCCAAGCCCATGTATATAGCACAGCTACTTTTGCACCCTTGGGAAAGGGAAGCAATATAGGAACCCCTTGAGAGAGGGATGTCGAGGGGTGGGGCAAGACACTTTGCCAAACCAATGATAGAAACTGGTCTCATCTTTGATATCTTTTTCAGGCATGAGGACCTGATAAGGAGTTTTAGGAGCTATGAAACACTGAGCACCCACTCATCTTTCAAGACCCAAAGGGGCTCATACACAACCTACCCTTGGTGGAAGACATTCTTGAAATTGCTCCCTCATGTGAGATACATCCACAACCACTCAGGAATGCTTTGGTCAGGCTCCTGACTCAAAAGCCAATGCTTAACACAGGAAGATTCAATGGAGGTGTGTGGAGCCACCAAAGATCAGAGAGAGTTTGTGTCCTCCTGTCCCATATCAGGAGGTTGGCCAGGCAAGGTTGCAATAGCAAGTGTGTTCAGATGTTGACAGCCTTGGAGTACAAAAAGCTGGCAGACACCTTGGAAAAGGTGGACATCAAAGGATCCCAAGGTGAAGCCTTGCCAAAGGGAGAAGAAGAAGAGGACAAGGGAGAGCCCAGCAAGAAGAAACTAAAGCACAACACCAGTGATGTTTCCCTGGACTCACAGGTTGGATCTAAAGACACCTGAAGCTCAGAAGAAGAGCTGTTCAGCAAAACCTCCAGGCCCCCCAGGGCTTTTGAACAAGAGAGTTGGCCAAAACAATGCTTTGGAAGGAGCCAAACATGACCCGAGCTTCAAGCAGGCTTTGGGGATGGTACCTGGAAAAGCAGCTGAGGGGCCAAAGAGAAGGCCAGCAGCAGCAATGAAGAGACCTGCTGCTTCAGAAGCTATTGCACAGGGTGATCCTGACAGGCGACCATGGCTGAAGATCGCAAAAACTTCAACCAAAAACCCAGAGAGGAGCTACTTGTGTGGGACCAAAGAGAAGGGAGGAAAATGCAAGCTCATTGTTGAAGTGAGCAAAAAAAGGAGCAACAGGTATGGGCTGATCATTGGGAAGATCAAAGAAGCCTTGGAGAAGAAACACTTGACCAAAGAAGAAGCAGTGCAAATGAGGGAAGAACTCTGCAGCAAGTGAAGGTGTTCTCCCAGCCCTCGGTAAAGGGGAACCCCTTCAAAAAGGGTCAAGGCCAAAACAGTTGAGCAAAGGTATTCCTTTGAAAAAGGGGACATCCTTTGCAAAAGGGAGCATCCTTTGCAAAAGGGAACATCCTTGAAAAAGGGAACATCCTTTGAAAAAGGGAACATCCTTTGAAAAAGGGAACATCCTTTGCTAAAGGAAAGATCGATTGCAAAAGGGACAGCTGTGTATATATAAGTTTTTGACAGCCAAAGAATGGCTGAAACATTTTTTACAGCCAAAAAATGGCTGAAACAAGGTGCTTTGTGTGTGTGTGTGTAAAACATGCAAGCTTGCTTGTTTCTAGATGTTTCTAGGTGTAGGTTTGATCTGGTTGTGTTTCTAGGTGTTGCCTCAATGTTTTTAGGTGGTTCTTGGTCTGGGTTGTTGCTTTTCTTGTCTTTTTGTGGGTGGTTCTTGGTTCTTGCCCTGAGGGTGGTTCTTGGTTTGGTTTTGTTAGGTTTTTCTTAACCCCTCCAAAACCATATAGGGCATACACACCAACCAGGGTCTGGCATGTTAATGTTAGGTTTTTTTCATAAAGGGTTCGCACGGCCACCGCACGCACACGGAACGCAGGAACGCAGCACGGGCACGCCACGGACACGCGACCTAAAGTTCCTGATCCCAGGAACCTCCCTGCTGGTGAGCCGCTGCACGCTGCACGGAACCTCCCAGCGACCCCCACGGTCCAGTGCTTAGCCGCTCGGATCGCGAACAATGTCCGCCCCTCCGAAGCGCACGTCTGCTATATATCCTAGAAATCGAAGCACCATTGGCAGATCAGCCACTGGGTTTGTCATGATGATGCATAGCTAGGTGGACTGTAATGTGCGTTCCCGTCCTGTCCTTTCCTTCCTCGTCCTTCCTCTCCCTGTCCTGTCGTTCCCTTGCGGGACTCGCCTGTGGAAGCGCCTGCAGGACGCGCCTGTGGACGCGCCTGCAAGACGCGCCTGTAATGTGCGTTCCTGTCCTTTCCTGTCCTTCCTCTTCCTCTGCCTTCCTCTCCCTGTCCTTTCGTTCCCTTCCTTGCGGGACGCGCCTGTGGACGCGCCTGCAGGACGCGCCTGTAATGCGTTCCTGTCCTTCCTCGTCCTCCTCCTTCCTGTCCCTGTCCTTTCGTTCCCTTCCTTGCGGGCCGCGCCTGGGGACGCGCCTGCAGGACGCGCCTGGGGACGCGCCTTCAGGACGCGCCTGGGGACGCGCCTGTAATGCGAGTTCCTGTCCTGTCCTGTCCTTCCTCTACCTCTTCCTTCCGCTCCCTGTCGTTTCTTTCCCTTCCTTGCGGGACGCGCCTGTGGACGCGCCTGCAGGACGCGCCTTCAGGACGCGCCTTCAGAAACTGCTACGAATGCCTGAGAGGGCGATCCTGAGAGTGGGCAAGGGACACTGTTTGGATTCTGGATGAATGATGATAGCTTGCCTTCAAATGGTTTTTTGGAGGATCCTGTTCACAATCTCATCGCTGCAGCGATGGCCTCCACCTCTTGGTATGCTTTCACCTCACTGCTTGTGTCAAGTGTCAGGTTCTTACTCGTTCCTAGTAGCTTCTGGTGGTCTCTTCCACTTCGCTGTCTGACATCCACTTCGCTGTCTGACTTCGCGGGCAAGGGACACTGTTTGGATGAATGATGATAGCTTGCCTTCAGATGGAGGAATTGAGTTGATGTGATGTGTGCCAGTGCCTGAATATTATCATCCCTTCGCACGGGCACCGCACGCAGCACTGAACGCACACACGGGCACGCCCACCGCACGGAACGGCACGGGCACGCAAAACGACCCCTTTATGTGGAGGATTTGACAGCGAC